TCAGGCTTCAAAAAGATTGTTGGTTCGACTACATCGAAATAAGTATGGGACACGTTAGAGAAAGTGTTCAAAGGAGCAGATCGAGTGAAGCAAGTTCGAATCCAAACTCTTTGTGGAGAATTGGAGAGGATGCAGATGAAGGAGACAGAAACTGTATCTGACTACATCACACGTGTACAAAAGATGGTGAACCAACTCACCAAAAATGGAGAAACAGTAACTGATGCATGAGTTGTTGAAAACATTTTGAGATCTTTAACAAATAAATTTGAGAATATTGTGTGTGCAATAGAAGAGTTGAAGGACCTTTTGATGCTCTCAGTCTAAGAGCTCGCTGGTTCTCCCGAAGCACATGAACAACGTAAGATGAAAAAGAAGGAAGAAGTAGTCGAGGAAGAAAATCAAACCAAGGATTCGATCAAAGACAAAAAGGTAATATTTTCTCAAAACTTTCGAGGAAGAGGACGTGGTTGTGGAGGTCATAACAGTGGCCGAGGCAGCAACTTCGAGAGAGGACATTCGAACCAACAAAATTAGTGTGGCAGAGGACGTGGTCAAAGAGGTGGTCGGTCGAATCACTCCAACTTCGAATGTTACAAGTGTGGGAAGTATGGTCATTACGCGAAGGATTGCAATTCCTACAAATGCTATAACTGTGATAAAGTGGGACATCTTGCAAAAGATTGTCGAATCAAAAAGAAGGTAGAAGAAACAACCAATATAGCCTTGGAAGCTGAATCGAATGAAGGTTTTCTCCTGATGGATCAAAATGAAATCAACACCAATAATGACCATGTTTGGTATCTTGACTCAGGAGCAAGTAATCACATGTGTGGTTACAAACACCTGTTTAAAGAAATGAAAAAAATTGAAGATGGTAATGTGTCTTTTGGAGATGCATCGAAAGTGAAGGTCGAAAGAAAGGGTACAATCTGTTACTTACAAAAGAGTGGCTTGATTAGATCAATCCAAGATGTTTACTATGTACCAGATCTCAAGACCAACATGTTGAGTTTGGGACAACTTACAGAAAAAGGTTTTTCGATACTTATAAAAGATCGAATACTGCATTTGAAGGACAAAGTAGGACATCTGATCTCCCGTGTCGAAATGGAAAGAAATCGAATGTACAAACTGAATCTGAGGAACGTTCTAGAGAAATATCTACAAGTCGACATGCAAGACAAAGCGTCACTATGGAATTTACGCTCTGGTCATCTATATCATGCTGGTTCGAGAAGGTTGGCGAAAAAGAACATGGTACACAGACTACCAGACATGAATTATGAAGGAAAGTTCTGTGAAGAATGTGTGCTCAACAAATAAACAAGAACCTCATTTCAAAATAAGATAGAATGTCAAGCTAAACATATTCTTGAATTGATTCATACCAACATATGTGGGCCAATCACTCCAGAACCCTTCAGTGGAAAAAGGTATTTCATTTCCTTTATCGATGATTTATCACTAAAGACCTGGGTTTATTTCTTGAAAGAATAGTCTGAAGCATTAGAGGTGTTCAAAAAGTTCAAAGTAATGGTGGAGAAGGCAACCGACAGACATATCTAAGCAGTTCGATCTGACAGAGGTGGTGAGTACACTTCGACGACCTTTATGAAGTATTGTGAAGAGCAGGGCATAAGGAGATTCCTAACTGCACCATATTCACCTCAGCATAATGGTGTGGCTGAAAGAAAGAATCAAATTGTTCTTGACATGATTCGATCAATGCTTAAGAGCAAGAACATGTCGAAAGAATTCTAGGAAGTAGCTATACAATGTGCTGTTTATGTTCAGAATTGATGTCCACATTCGAAGTTAGAAGATCAAACACCACAAGAAGCATGGAGCAGATAAAAGCCAACAGTTTCTCATCTCAAAGTATTTGGTAGTGTATCTTATGCACATGTACCAGATCAACAAAGAACGAAACTTAAAGACAAAAGTCAAAACTATATATTCATTGGGTATGATGAGAAGACAAAAGGGTACAAGCTATTCGACCCCATTAGCAAGAAAGTGATCATGAGTAGAGATGTTCGAATAAACGAAGCGAGCAAGTAGAACTGGAACAATTCGACAGAAGTTATCGACGCAATCGAAGAATCATTTGTCGTTGTACCAACAAGCATTTCAACAGAACATGAAGATATTGAAAATGAAGATGAACCTCTACAACCCAGAATGCGAAGTTTGCAAGATTTATATGATTCGACAAATAAGGTACACCTTGTGTTCCTTCTGGAAGATGCTGAAAACATCAGTTTTGAAGAAGCGTTACGAGACAAGAAGTGGAAAAGTACCATGGACAAAGAGATTAGAGCAATAGACCGCAACAACACTTGGGAGCTAGTCGAATTGCCAAAAGGTAGTCGACCCATTGGTGTAAAGTGGGTATTCAAGAAAAAGATGAACGCTCAAAGAGAAATAGAATGATACAAAGCGCAACTTGTTGCGAAGGGATACAAACAAAAAGTAGGAATTGACTATGACGAAGTGTTTGCACTTGTTGCAAGAATGGAGATGATTCGATTGCTCATTTCTCAAGCTGCTCAATTCAAATGGCCGATATTTCAAATGGATGTCAAGACAATATTTTTAAATGGTGTACTCGAAGAAGAAGTCTATATCGAACAACTACTATATGGGCTGAAGCAAGCAGCACGGAAATGGAACACACACATCGACACATATTTCAAGGAGAATGGGTTCGAGCAATGTCCGTATGAACATGCCCTCTATGTGAAGAAAAATAGAAGTAATGTATTACTTGTTGCTCTCTATTTCGATGACCTTATTTTTCTAGGCAGTGATGATCAAATGATAGAAGAATTCAAGAGCACCATGACACATGAATTTGAAATGACAGACTTAGGTCTGATAAGATTCTTTCTTGATCTAGAGGTTCGACAAGAAGAAACTAGAATCTTTATTTCACAAGAAAAATATGCAAAAGAAATCTTGAAAAAATACAAGATAAAAAGTTGTAATCCAACTTCGACGCTAATGGAACCAGGTGCAAAATTGTCGAAATTTGATAGAGGAGAACGTGTCGAAGTAAGCAAATATCGAAGCTTGGTAGATAGTCTTTGATATATCACATGCACAAGGCCAGACATTTTATTAAGTGTCGGTACTGTAAGTCGATTCATGGAGGAGCCAGTACATTCATATTGGAAGGCATTGAAACGAATCCTTAGGTACATCCAAGGAACAATGTCATTTAGAATGTTCTATTCAAGAACAGAAGACTACAAGTTAGTTGGTTATTCTGACAGTGATTGGTGTAGAGATATAGACGATCGAAAAAACACTTTTAGATATGTGTTCTTCATGGGAAACACCACATTTAGTTGGCTTTCTAAAAAACAACTAATAGTAACACTTTCAACATGTGAAGCTGAATATGTGGCAACATCTTGATGCGTTTGTCATGCAGTATGGCTTAGAAGATTGATGAACAAAATGGAGCTAAAACAGGAAGGCGCAACTGTAATACAAGTGGGCAACAAATCAATAATCAAGTTGGCAAAGAATCCAGTAAACTATCAGAGAAACAAACACATTGTCGTTCGCTTCCACTTCATTTGAGAACATTTGAAGGTAGGAAGTGTCGAATTGAGGCATGTAGCAAGCAAGGATCAAGCAACAGACATTTTCACAAAACCATTATCGAAAGAAATTTTCGACAGAAGCAAGAAATTGATAGGTATGATGGATGGAATAAACATTTAAGTTTACAAAGGAGTTTTGTTAAATAAACTTTAAATGTTAAAATAGTGGGTTTCTATTAATAAATTAGTGGAAAAATTAAAAGTCTATTGTAATTGAAAGGCTAAGAGATAGTGGCTTATAATAGTATTTACTAATATCATTTACTTTCCTAGAATAATAGAAGTCCTTGAGTCTATATAAAAATCAAAATTGTATTCTATTTGATAACAAGTTATAAAAGTATTTGTTTCCTTTCTAACAAGTCTCACTCTAATAACACAAGCTCGTAAGAAATATTCATCATCAATTCATATCATTCTTTTTCCTCCATTTCATCTTAAATTATCTACTCTCCATTTAATCTTGGATTTTTCATTATGATTTTCACTGCCAAAGCAAGTTCATACACTGTCTTTGGACAAAGCCTCTGGCTCTGGATTTCGCTCCAAACATTAATACTTCGTCTAGAAAAATCGACATGCAATTAAAGCTTGTGCCTGGTAACTCTGCTGGAACAATCACAACATATTATGCAAGTGTTTTTGTTTATTATTTAATCTTAATATAAAATGTTTAGCATGAAATAAATGGAATGAATTATTTATTGCAGCTATCTTCTCTTGGAGATTCTCATAATGAAATAGATTTTGAATTTCTTGGTAATTTAAGTGGTGATCCTTATATTGTTCATACGAATATTTACTCACAAGGGAAAGGAAACAAAGAACAACAGTTTCATCTGTAGTTTGATCCCACCATCTAGACACACATAAAACTCAACATCATAGTAAGATAAAATCTCATATCGTTTTTCCTTTAAACAAGTTTAGTGTTTATATAGCTCACACATGTTTCAATTATTGTCTTGTACTGAATTGATGAGGCATTCATGAAAATTATTAGTATTTATTTTGTCAATAATAAAATAAACAAATATAATGGAGTCTTATTTGATTGGTGTCAAATCCTATTAACTAACGTCATCATGAGAAACCATTTGAGAATAGAAAGGTTGAGGTTTGTTATTTATTACAGTGACTTGAAGCATATCTTCTTCTCCATCATATCAATATTAGGGCAAAAGAAGCTAAAAACACATCATGTCAATGTTGTTTCTGTCCAATCCTTCAACTAGCTGTAACTAACCATAATACAGCAAGATAATGAAACAACATACGTATTTCTACACCAAACAAAATTACTAAACTTTTTTTTTGGATAAACCAATGCAAATTTAACCTAAATACTAGCTAGGTCAAATCATTGAAAAGAGTTTGTTCATAAACTTAAGGAGTTTCAGGCTTAATAGGATTGCCAATGCCATGATGATGAAGTGGATCTGGACCTGTAGGAACCTTCCTCAACTCTCCAATCACTTCCTGTTCAGTTCTCTTCATCTTTGTTGAAGATCCTTCAAGACTAACCTTCAACATAGCTTTCTTAACCTTCAAACTAGACAGCATCTGCACAAACACATAGAGTTAAGAAATAAACAATATTTTTACGCTAGAAGTTAAAAATAGTGTGAAACAAACCTTCCTGTTATGACTAGGTTTGAGACTTCCTCCATTAACATCAAAGCATGCAAATGAAGAACTACAACCTACAAACAGAAATAACAATATTTATTGTGATAATGAATGTATAATAACAAAAGAACAGAAAAGTCAGGGAACAAACCAGAAGTCTCCCTCATGAGAAGCAAGAAGAAAAGAACAAGTAAAAAGACAGAAGTAGGAATGAATTTTGAATTTGAAGCCATAATAATATTGAAGAGAAGAAGAAGGATTCTTAAATTTGCATGCAGGTTATGAAGAAGGATACACATATTTATAGTGTAAGAATTTTAATATGAATGATGGATGGTGCAGCCATTTGTAAAAAACTAATGATTAAAGACACTAATGTGGAAGCAAAATATGTACTTTTCACTGCTATATAGCTGTGTGTATATATATATATATATATATATATATATATATATATATATATATATATATATATATATATATATATATATATATATATATATATATATATATATATATATATATATATATATATATATATATATATATATGTAACAGAGCCGTCTTATATGTATTGTTGTCGAGAATCATTTGGCTGCTGATACTGACAAATGCAAATATATCTTCAAAAATATGATGTCAAAGGTGATAAAAGAACTAAAAAAAGTAGAAAAGATAAAAGGATATGATTTTATATCTTGATTTTGATTTGGAATGTCAGATAGAAGCATCAACATACGTCATGTTTCCTTTCTGAGTCTCTACAAACTCTTTTTGGGGCCATCCTATTTCTGATTCTATCTGTGGCACAATCTGTTAACATGATTCACTTTTGTTTTGTATATCCAATTTTTAAGATTTAAGGCATGAATGAATTATTTATTCGGTTTTACTCGGTTAAATAAAAAGCATGCACCAAATGAAAGTCTTAGTTCTATTTTTTCTATTGAGATATGTTTGAAACACCATTTTAATATAAATACATATTGTTCACTTTATTTATATGATAATTTGTGTTTTTTTAAATAATAATAATAATAATAATAAAAATAATAATAATAACGATAATAATAATAATTAATAATAATAATTACAATAAAAAAAAGAAAGAGATAAGATAAGAGAAAAGGAAGGAATAAATTTTATTGTGGTTCATTGAGCACTCAAATGGTTCAATTTGCAAGCATTATACAAACATTATACTTTATATTTTTAAGAATACAACACTCACTTAGTTTTATAATTACATATTATAATGCCAACAACCCATTACAGAAGTTATTTAGGGGTATTTGTTTGATGGATATTTATTGCTATTTACATCAAATAGTTTATAGTTTTCGGTAGGATGATAACCAACTAACAATATTATCTCTCTTTTGTCATCTAATTTCTTTCGAAGTTAACTTAGAATATGTTGAAATGTTATCGAACCGAAAATCTTCAAATGACTCAAATATGGTTTATGACTAGACCATACCTCTTCTGGTATCAGTTTGTCCAACTTCTTAGTAGGACACCTATTCGACAAATAGGTGGCTGTAGATACGGCTTCACCCTGAATTTTCTTCGGCAAGTTTTTTCCCTTCAACATACTACGAACCATATTCATTATCGAACGATTTCTTCTCTCGACAACACCATTTTGCTGAGGCATATAAGGTGGTACATGTAACGCCCGTAATTTAATTAATTATTTAATTAAATTATTTTTGAAATATTTGTGAAGTTGTGTTGTGATTAGTTGGAATTATTTATTTCATTAAGTGGTGAAATAATATTATGAGAAGGATGATATTATTTTGTGTGGGCTTGTTTTAAAGGAATAGAAGCAATAAGGGAGTGTATTAGTTTTAAGCCCATTAAAGAATAAAGAGAATAATAGGTGATTTTATTATTGTTAGAAATAACAAGAAAGAAGAAGCAGTAAGAAGAATAAGGGTTTGAAAGGAAGAACGTGAAGCTGTTGGAATAGAGGAAAAACGGAAGAATGGGAATTCAATCGGAAGTTATAGAGCAACCTTCAATCCAAGATAAGGGTGGAGTTCTGACTCTATAATAGGGTTCATGATAATTGATATGTGGGGTTAGAGGTGATTGTTGTCTTGTTCATGAATTGAATGTATATGAGGTTGTATGATGAAAAATCGATAAATTTTGGATGAATAATGATGTCCCGGTGTTGTTTAATTGATGTAGAATTATAGGATAATTGCAAGTGATGATTATCTATGATTAGATTATGTTTTAGGGCTTAAGGTATGGAACCCGTAGTGAAAATACAGATAAAATCGCAGAAAATACACTTAGCAGAGCAGTATGTGTCGACCCCAAATGCTATGTGTCGATACAAGAATGTCGTTAGACTCAGTATGAGTCGACACAGAGGAATCATGTGTCGATACATGAGGGCTTTCAGACTTAGGATGAGTCGATACGTATGAGCATGTGTCGATACATGCAGAGTTGCAGACTCAGGATGAGTCGATACAAGGGAGGATGCGTCGACTCGTGTTTCAAGTTCAGTTCAGTACGCGTCAACCCAAAGCGTTATGCATCGATCCATGTTGTCTAGTTTTTGGCAGAATCAGTTTGAGAATGTTGTAACTTGAGTTTTCGGACTCCGTTTGAGGTATCGTTCGAAGCGTTGAATAGCTAACGCGGTGAACTTCATTCTTAATGATTATAATGAAGAATAGGAAGGATAATCCTAGTATCCAAATTAGGAATCAGATTAGTTCCCGTGTTGATTGTTATGTCGGTTTTTGTTAAGAATGATGAGGATGAAACGTTTAGAGATGTTTGTGTAGTTGTAACAGTGGGATTAATGATGATGACGGTGCGGTATTACAGAATAGTAGTATGTAGAGGTTTGATGATTTATAAGTAATCCTTAGTTGATTCACTAATTATAGGCAATATCTTGTTATACGCCTATGGCCAACATTGTGAAATTGATGAGTTACTATTGTATTACTGTACGACTGAGTTGTTGATGAGATGATGTTAATGAGAGTTTGTGTTGATAAATGATGTTGATGAATTATGTTGATGAAAAGATGTTAAGATGCTTTTAAGATGTAGCCTTTTGGCCAACGATGATGTTGTATTAAGATGTTGTCAATTACGGTGTTATCATTACATTCATGATTGTGTCGCATACATTGCATTATGAGATGGAGCTTATGCTCGTTGAGATGGCCTGTATTGGCGAATATTGAGATGAAGGCTTATGCCTTGTTGATGCCTCTATTAATTGGCAATTTTTGAGATGGGAGTTCTGCTCCAATGGTATCACATGCATTTGCATAATATTGAGTCGTATTATCTGAATGCATAAAGAGGTTGTGCATTGAAGTGGTATACGTGTATATTGTTGATATTTTGTTATAATGTTTGTTGTTTGTAATATGATAAGTGGTGATGTCATGTGATCTAATTTAATATATTAATTATCATACGCTTTATTATAATGTTAGGTATCTCACCCCTTCTGTTTGAATGTTTCCCTGATGTTGGTAACGTGCAGGTAATCGAAAGTGAAGGTTGTATACCTTTAATAGTTCGAGTCGGTGTCATTGCTCTAATATGTAACACTCGGGGGGGTGAACGCTTGTTGCTTTTGATTGTTGATTATTCAGTTGTTGAACTTTAAGTTGATTATTATTAAGTATGTGTTGTTTTGAAGTTGCCGTAACGATGATAAAGATGTTATTAAGAATTCCGCTGCGTAGATGTTTAAATTGTTGAATTATTTAATTAAAGTATTATGCTGATGGTTCATCCGAAAATTTAAAGTGTTATATATCCACGATAAATACAATGAGTTTTTAATGATGAATTTGTGGTATCCTGATTCGTTTGCGTGAATGATTTTATAAATCTGATTTATTTATAATTGTCGGGTAGAATTGGGGTGTTACAAAGTTGGTATCAGAGCAAAAGGTTAGTCCGACCTTGTCGTCGAGTCGTAGTTATCTAACAATTGAGTATTGTTAATTTGAGTTCTAACTGTTGTTTATGTTGTAGTGATAAGTTGAGATGACTCGAAGGAATGATGCTGCACTTGCTGCTGCTTTAGAAGCAATGGCTCAGGCGGTGGAGAATCAGTCAAATACTAACGGGAATGCTGGATCTCGTAGTTTGGCGAATTTCTAGAGAGAGAATCCGCCTACGTTCAAGGGAAAGTATGATCCTGACGGAGCATTGGAGGGGTTGAAAGAGATTGAGAGAATATTCCGTGTGATGGATTGCACTCCAGCGCAGAAGGTTCGATATGGTACTCATATCCTAGCAGTCGAGGCTGATGACTGGTGGCTAGAGACTTGTCAGAAGTTAGAAGCTGCAGGTGAGAATGTCACTTGGGTTGTGTTCCGTAGGGAATTTCTGAGGAAGTACTTTCCTGAAGATGTTCGTGGTAAGAAGGAAATTAAATTCCTTAAGCCGAAGTAAGGGCATATGTCTGTTGTTGAGTATGCTGCCAAGTTTTCTGAGTTGGCAAAGTTTTATCCGCACTACACTGAGGCAGATGCTGAGTTTTCGAAGTGTATCAAATTTGAGAGTGGGTTGCGCCCCGAGATAAAGAAGGCGATTGGATACCAGAAGATCCGTGTATTTGTGGGTTTGGTTGATAGTTGCAGGATTTATGAGGAGGATAATAATGCTCATTACAAGATTATCACTGATAAGAGGGTAAGCACCAACAGAATCGTGGTAAGCCTTATGATGCCCCAACTGGTAAAGGTAAACAGAAAGTTTCTCAGGGTCAGAGGACTAGTGGGGGAGATGCTCCTACTGGTGCGGTTTGTTGTAAGTGTGGAAAATCTGGGCATAAGAGTAATGTGTGTACTACTGAAGTGAAGAGGTGTTTCCGTTGTGGTAAGAACAAACATGTTGTATCTGAGTGTGAACATAAGGATGTGATTTGTTTCAATTGTAGAGAAGAAGGGCACATTGGTAGTCAGTGTCTGAAACCAAGTAAGGCGCAGACAAGTGGTAAAGTGTTCGCTTTGGTTGAGGATCAAGCAGCTACTGAGGACAGACTTATCAGAGGTACATGTTTCATTAATAGTACTCCTTTAATTACTATTATTGATACCGGTGCTACTAATTGTTTCATTGCTGCTGATTATGTTGAAAGATTGGGTCGTATCTTGTCTTCTTTGAATGGAGAAATGGTCATCGATACTCCAGCCAAGGGGTCGGTGACTACTTCTTTTGTGTGTGTTAAGTT